ATGTCCATGTGAATCAACCATCGGTCGGATTCCATCGCCCCGACTCATCTTCTTCCAACGTCGTGTCATCCATTTCCCCCCCACTGGGATTACTAAAGCGAGCCCGCCCGCGACAAGCCGCCTCTTCGTTGGCTTCTACTTTATTTCTAGCCCTACCGACCGTCATCAGGTAGTCCGACATCGAACCATTCTTAGTCTGCCGCCCCCTCCACCCCATTTGGACCTGCAGCAAAGTGCCTGGCACGTACGCGACCCCTCCCGATAGTGCACACGACCATTCCACAAAACCACCAAACGGCCCGGCCACTCTGTACCACTTCACAAGCACCACCGAAAGTGACCCAACATGGTCAAACCAAGACTTATCATTCTTATCCGGCATGCCCAGTCAGAGGGTAACAGTATGTTGTGCCCCGCCATCGAGGCTGCCCCTCACCCACTTGCCCTGTCGCGTTTTGCCTCCTGTGCTGACTTTTGTTGCTCCTAGAAAACAGAGAAATTCACCAGGCCATACCCGACCATCGCGTCAAGCTCACGCCCGAAGGCTGGAACCAAGCATATGAAGCCGGTCGCTCCCTGCGCAAGCTGTTGCGTGCCGACGACACCCTCCACTTCTTCACCTCTCCATACCGCCGAACCCGCGAGACCACTGAGGGCATCCTTGCCACCCTGACCTCCGACGACGACGAGCCCTCTCCCTTTAAGCGGTCTAACATCACCGTCCACGAAGAACCGCGGCTGCGCGAACAGGACTTTGGCAACTTCCAACCATGTAGCGCCGAAATGGAGCGTATGTGGCAAGAGCGCGCTGACTATGGCCACTTCTTTTACCGCATCCCCAACGGCGAGAGCGCCGCCGACGCATACGATCGAGTGAGCGGCTTCAACGAGAGCCTGTGGCGTCAATTTGGTGACAACGACTTTGCCAGCGTCTGCGTTCTCGTCACCCACGGCCTCATGTCCCGCGTATTCCTCATGAAGTGGTACCACTTCACCGTTGAATACTTTGAGGACCTGCGCAACGTCAACCACTGCGAGTTCCTCATCATGCGCAAACAGGAGGAGAGCGGCAAATACATACTCGAGAATAACCTCCGCACCTGGTCTGAGCTGCGGCGCGAGCGCGTCCTGCAGGGTAAGGAAAAGCAAGTCGCCCCGAGCCCCATCGAGAAGACTAAGAGCTTCGTCCCGACGCGGCGCTGGGGTGGTTGCCCCAACGGCTGCAACCACCAAAGTCACTACGTTCGCCGCGACGACCTCGAGTCGCTGCGACAGACGGATGAGAAGGCAGCCGCGGCCGCCAGCACTGTCTGCAAGCCACACTCGCAGACCCACTCGCAGACCCCCTCCGTCTCGAGTCTCGCCAGCCGCCGGCCAGTAGGCAAGCGCTTTCAGCTCGCATACGGCTCAGACGAAGACCACGACGACGAAGAGAACGGCACCGGCGGATCCCGCTCCACCCCTCAGATTGATGTTGTCCGCTCTCACGAAGAGGTTGTCTCATCACCCGATGGTACGCCCTCTTACATCTCCCGCCGAGGACCGTCTACGCAGCCTTCGTTCACCTCACCTCCACATTGGGCGGGACGGCGGCGGCACGTACTCTGGTCACGCGTCCTTGTCGAATAGTGACGCCGAGGACAACTCTGAGGACGAGCACGCCGGTCATCGGGGTCACGGACGTGTTGCGTCGCTGGCGGCGCAGCTGGAGAAGCTCCCGACTGGTGCGAACGGACGGCACGCCAACGGACATGCTACCGATACGCCAGGCGGCCATGTAAACGGCAAGGGCCCGATTGCGGTGGTCAACGATGAGGCCGTCACCAAGGAAGATGCAAGCTTGGACGAATACGGCATGGTGCCTGGCGCGCGTGCGAATCGTCTCGGGGATGCGCTCAGTAGTGTCGGCTCCGATGGTGGGAGGGATGCGGATGACGATGACGATATCGACCGGGCCGAGAGGGCCGACCGTAGCATACAAGGGAGTGTCTATTGAGTATGGTGCTGAGAGAATCACACCTGCAAGGCGAGGGAAGGTGGGAGCGTTGCAGGACGCAAAATTCAGCAAGGATCAGGAGTCATCGCGATATGGAGAGAGCCAGGTGCTCGGGAGATTGAATGGACTGCATACATGGCTGGCGTTGGGTTCTGTTTCACGCGAGGCACAAGGCACGGCATTATGGAGATATACCTGGGTAGATATTACGAGAAGATCAAAGCAGCACTTTTTCTGTCAGGCGCTTCAAACATCAAGGTGACTGCGCATGTCCGCTTTCCAGCCCGCATCGTGGGAACGCTCCGAAACAGCAACACATTGGCTCTTGACTTCTGGATCGCTGCCGGAGCAATGACCAAGGGGGTCGTCACGACGAATTCAATGAAGACATGCACAGCAATCCAAGTTTCATTCCAAAAAGGGGTATTCGCCACACACTACGCCGCTCCTTATTATTATCCACTCCTTCTGGCCCATTGCGCCAGGTCTTCTCTATCACCTCCCATAGCCCGACCCTCCGGACCCATGGTGCCCGTCCACCGGCAACTCTGACAACGGTCTTTGCCTGCCGGCCTCGTTCGCGTAGCTTCCGTCCAGCTCCATCGCCTCGGCGCCAGGCCCAAGCCCGTGACCTTGCCAGGACCCGAGCTCGCCCACAGGCGGCTGCTGCGGAACAAGTTGGTGACCGTGCGGCATTGGATACCCGGGACTCGAGTAGTGCTCTGGGCCGCCACCCTGATGAGGGGGGCTCTGCGTCCACGTGTGCCGGTCGGACTGAGACATGGACATGGCGGCCGTGGCTGACTCGCTGGGATAATCGCTGCCCGGAGCCCCTGCGCCGTACGCGCCGTAGTTTCCTGTTGCTTGCGCTTTTGTCGCAGTGTCCCGTTGCCTTGAGCGGCGGCGCAGGAACCAGAAGGCGAGGGCGACGAGGGCGACGAGGGCGACGCCACCGACGACACCACCGGCGATGGCGCCTATGGGGAGGGACGCGCTACTGTCGCTAGTGCTGTCGTCTGTGGAGGCTGCTGAGGTGGATGAGGATGTTTGTGTTGTCGAGATGGTATCACGAGAGATTGGCTGGGTTGTGGTTATGGTCTCATCGGTTGTTGTGAGTTCTGGGGCCTGATTCCGGTAAATGGTGTGCGCCGCCCAGTCTGCGAGTTGTCAGGGCAAGGTTCTCGGGACATCAGGTGATCATCGAAAACCTACTGCGGCCGCATACTATGATCGAGGTTGGGTTGCCGACTTCGAACGGAGCTGGTGTTTGATAGAGTTTCATTGTAACGCACGAATACTCCGTGCCGCTGATATAGTTGTCAATTATGATTCCCATTCACCATGGATGGACGTACCAAGCAAAAGTCTCTTGATTGTCGTAGGTCACCGTATTATCTTCGCAGACGGTGGCCATCTAATTCCAACGTGTAAGTCACAGTCAACTTGGAGGGGAGGTACAATGTCCGCGACATCGGTCTGTTGCTTACAGAACATGGGTCCGATGCACAACAGATGCCAAATCTTCCAGATGTCTGGAAATTGACACCAGAAGAACACATCATGGCAGACGCTGCACATTATCTGGTCAATCACTGAGCCACCAAGCAAGAGATGTTCAGTATCCTACTTCCTGTGGGACCCATAGACCATCCTTGAAACTCGGTAGAAGCCTGTTGTACTGATGGCGGCGGGGTCGAAGATGGCACCGCCACAGGTCTGTCTGTTGTAGCAGAGGCCGTGGCCCTCTGGAAGGCTCTCAATACCTGCTGATACCGACATGTCGGCTATCAATGAAAACGCTCTCGTTCCCGCAGTCTGTATGGTCGTATTCGCAAGCGTCAGGTTGACCGAATCGCTGCTGTGTTGTTTGTCGGCCGGAGGCTGCTTGGAAAGCGTGTCGGTGAACGCGAGAAAGGGGCGGGATCGCGAACTCAAGAGGTCAGCTTGTTGCCGCCGCCCCGCGCGCGGGCTCTACACAGCCTTATGTTATGACCGTTCGCCATTTGCGCCAAGCAGGCCGAATCCTTCAGCAAGGGCTTGCAAGGGCTTGTTGGGACCACCAACAGCGCGGGCGAGATGGCTGTACAGTCTACTGCCAGGGTCATTGCTTATTGGGCTGATGGGGCAGCGCAGCACAGCATTTGGCGTAACGTTTGCTGTCTGCCAGGCCGTACCAGCCCTGTAGCTCCACGGGAATCATCCAAAAATACCTTCTCGCGTGCGGCTGGTGGCAGTGCAGGCCAAGCAGCCGCTCCCGCGTCTGGGGGCAACTACTGTGAAGGGCATAGCTCCCATCCTTCCAAGGCTTGGTGCGAATCAAACCCCTGGTCTAACGGGGCTAGGTCGAATCTCGACCAGTCCTGTCGGTCCTGAATGGTAAGGCGCGCCTCTGTGGCTGCTGCGGGCCGTCTGTTCTTATCCAGCTGGCGACAATTTACCTAGGCCAAGGGAGATTAGAGCTGATCCGATGGACGGTTTCGCGGTGCGTTCTTGCTTTCTGCACAGACAAGTCTGGCCTCCATTTCTTGAGGTCTAGCTGCAAAGCTCACTCTCTGTAACCATGTCCTCTTGCAAAGGACAGGACAAGTCATTAGCGCTCTTTACATCGCCAGGAGAAAGTTGGCTCCAATTTTGCAAAGATGCTTTGATGTCAAGCCGGTCATGTAATATGCATCAACGGACAACACGGCCTACAACCAAGATTGCTCAGCGTTACAATCCAAACAAGGCGGCGACGCCCAACCTTGTGCAGGCGAGTAAGCTGGGAGTGGGGGCTGAATCGAGAGCTTCGACCATAGTTGCGGGCGAGATCTACATCGGCTGCAGCGAACCCAACGATTCCCCCGCCTCGCGTGAGACGTAAGACGCACTGGCGACTCTGCCATATTGGTAAGGCTCACGCCAGACATTGGGTCTTGAGCCAACGCGTACGAGAGTAAGCGCCGCATGTAGCGTGTACTCGCCCTCGTCTATATTATCATTGCAGCTTTGCTCGCAGTCAAGCCGCGTGCTACAGTCGCTCTTGGGGGATTTCGCACATGCCTTGTGCGGAGATGGAATGGGAAAGCCTTGCCGTGTCTTGGCGTTTGGCGGCTCACCCACTGGATGGATGGTGGGGTTCCATCACACGCCCATTCTGCATCTCCTCGCATTGAAGCTCGTAACAACATGGCGATGCCCAACGTCCCTGATTCTGGTCAAGTACAGGACTTGCTCTCGTCATGTTGCATGCGAATCTCTTAGGCCAGTCGTGTCGCATTAGCCGCGCTCAGGGTGATCTTATAGTTTGCTGGCTGCAGGGCAGAGATGTTACCGCGAGGAGCAGGCATAACAGGCGCGCCTAAGTCGTGAGATCGATGCCCCGTGTTGCTTCGTTTGTCGCTTGGCTGGGGTAACTGATTGCTGGTGTGATGTTCTCGGCGATGTGTAATTCATGTCCT